ACTAATTTTATCAAATATTAGTGATATAAAATACGAGTATTTACGGGTCGGATAGCAAATCGAGTACGAATATGGATAACGAGACGGGTAGTAAAAAAAATGATACTCTTTTACCCGATCTTTACCCGTAGGTATCAAAATTATAGTACCCTTTACCCCACTCGAACGTTATGGGTACCCTAATTTTCGAGACGAGTACGAACCGGATAACGGATAAAGAATGGGTAACGGATATCTGTGCCATAACTGTTGTGTATGCGAAGATAACAAATTAACAAAGAATTGAATGTTATGGATTTTACACTCTATTATTCAAAATCTAAGACGTAAAAATTAGTGAAATGTTAGCATGGCTGATAAAAGTTTTTCTCAATCGCACCAAACAATTAGTATTTACTTACAAAACAAAAGAAAAATTTACTAAGAGAAAAATAGTAAAATAGACAAGTGTTTTCTTTTGCTAGACTTCTGTAAGCCAATCATACCTAACTCATCTTTCATAGTCACCTACCATATATATATATGGCATCAACCCATTACCCATGTTGGTGTTATTTAAATGATGAGACTTATAATTGTTCCCTTATTAAAGCTTTGACATACACGTCACACTCTAGATCTCCATAAAAATATGTACCGACTGTGGTCAGGCTGTTGTGTGGAAATCACTGTTGCTTTCTTGGGTTACATATCACTTGTAATGCATTTTAGTATGGTTTTGGTTTGAGTTTTGCTGCTACGCTGAAATTTTTTGTATGTATTGTTATATTTACAGATTAGAGCCAGAGAGATAAAGATAGTTGAGAAATTGTCAGAACAAAAGGTCCGGTTAAAGGTGATTTTGGCATAAGCACCGCATTTTCTAAAGAATGGGTTGAAACTTCAATGCTCAATCTGTGTAACCCACAAACTTGAAACCACTTTAACACAATATTACAGCGCTCAAAAATCAATTGAAAATTCTCTTGAAGCCACAGATCGGGCTTAGTCTCCAAGATCTTGTTCATGTTTGTTCCACAGACAAATGCATTTGCAGTTTGGGTTTTGGTTCATGGAACTGTTTTACTCTGCGTAGCTTCATTGAAGATCACTACAGCATCAACACTCCTTCTGACTTGTTCGTTTCGGTTTTTGTGGCTTCGGCGGATTTGTTGTCGGGAATAACAATTCTCTTATTTGTCCTTCTGCATCGTCTTCTGATGTTGCCTGCAAGAGTTTTTGATTGGCATTAAATGTTAATAAGATCAACTGTTCTGTTTGTGACCCCAAAAAAAAAAAATTCAACTTTTCTGTTTAGTACGGTTTCTTAAATATCATACATAGATCATGAACAAGATTTTAAGAGAAATACCCTTGTCAAGAATGCAAACCGCAATGACTCAATTTTTGCTCCTGCACAAAGCCTGAGGTCAAAACCAAGGGAATCTATCCCAATCAGCTTCACTTCCTGCAAAATAAAAATTACAGGCTCTCAAATCTCAGTTTCACTTTCATACACAACCTGCACTCTGTATATTCACATTATATGAATTTTATTCATGAACGTGAAACAAATATCCATGAAAACCTATAGAAATTTCATTCAGAAATTCCAATTCGCAAACTAGAGCTTCTAGAGTTAAGCAGCTAATTTACCTCTGCTTGAATCCCGTTATGTCTCCAACACAGAGATTTGAGAGCTTCGGTTAGTTTATCACCAGATTCTTCTAAACGGCTTATGATTCCAGCTGATGAATGAGCAATAGCATCAGGTTGTGCTTTTCTGACATCTTCCACTTCAACTTCAGTCTGTTCCCAAGAGTAAAAAGATAGTACTAAGCATAAGCTTGCAACAAAAAGCGAGTCTATATAAGAAGCGGAACCATGAAAATTTGCCAATTACGAAACGAAGTAAGGGCAAGCATGACACAAAGTTGTCTAGATATACAGGTAATAGATACATAGAGATAGAGAAGCAAAATAAATGTACATAAAAATATAGAGAAGCTTTACTGCAAACCTGATCCCCTTGTGCTGAAATTAGCTGAATTCTTATCATCTCCAACTTGTAAAACGCCACCACATTTCTCTTTTTCTCAACCTCCGATGAGTCTATCTCAGATTCGTCACTATCTGCCTTACCAATGTCTTCAAGCTTCTCTTCTAAGTCTTCGGCATCCTTGTTTACATTAGTACTCATAGGTTTGCTATCAGCAAGTTTCTTTTGGATATCGGAATAGTCTTCCACTAAGATATGACTCAACAGTCCCTGGATGGCAAGGCCAGCAGACGGCTGATCCATCCAATCTATAGGATCATTTGAAGCAACCTGAATATTGGCAAATACATGAAGTATGTCATGATCTTGCATATCAATTTTATACAAAATCACAACACATTTTTTCAGAACTTGAGACTAAATTTAACCTCTGTCATCCTCTTTGCGAAAAACATGGGATGACAACTCCTCATTGTTTCCAAATTTGCCCAGTCTCCAAGGGAT